AATTATGAATGAGTTACACCAAACTCAACTGCACTTAACAGCAACAACTTAACAATGTATGGTGGAATTGGGATCATATTAATATACCATAAATTACATAGATCCAGGAATGAGTTTTAGGTTCACATGGAATGCTAGCTCCACTTTAAGAACAATTACTTCTTATACCCTGACCCTGCTCAATACTCACCCTCAGGAAGGAAACACCAAAGATACAAGTGCTATAGCATAGTGTGGTAAAGAAAGTAGATGATGCCCAGCTAGCAGATAATACAGATGGGTCTTAAAGGCTTGTCTGTGAACAAGCAGCTATCTGAGAGAGATGTCAACTAAGCCCACATGGAAGAAGGACCCCAACATCAGTGGCTAAAATATTTCAAATCATATGATCTGAAACTGAAGGAGAAAATAGTATCAGGGCCCAAATTGTGAGATTCTGATTTTCAGAAGGCTACGGATGACAGTGGGATCCCAAGATATAGTTTTGAGATCTGTACTGGAATGAGCCTCCAGTGATGTCTCTCTATGCATAATGGAGGGATGGTAATAAAATGGTAACAAAACAGGGTACATTGGAGAAATGAATGTAGGACATTGAAAAGTTAAACCTGACTTTTATAATATTACATTATAAGAGTTATAATACTGTCAGTTGACTTTTATAATATTATTTTATCAGAGTTATAATATTGTCAGTTTAGCCCTCCCATACACATTGGGCCTGATATGGTTTTCGATATTGTATGCTTTTTTTCTTCTTCTTTATATTGGTGTCTAGTTCTGATGTATTTTGTCATTGAGGATAGCCCTCTTTAATTATTGCTATATATGTTCCTGTTTTTCAGTCTATGAAACCCAGGATTGATGAACCTAAAGAGACGGTAAGTGGAATAAGGGATACTGTGGGGTACAGTCAGGTGGGGTGGGGGTAAAGGGGAGATGATATAAAGGAGGTGAAGAAGAAAGAGAATGCTTTAAAACTGATCATGGTAGCAATTGTACAATACTGCTGGATGTGAATGAACCATGATATGATTTCTGTTGAACTATGGAATAATATGGTATCTTCATAACCTCCAGATAAAAAGTTTTTTTGGAGGGGAAAAAACTCTTAGAAGTGCTGTAACATGCACCAAATTATGATCAACACAGTTTTGGAAATATTCCCCAGTTTATCAAATTGTGCCCAGAATGGACAATGTGACTGGGCATTTTAATAAAGTCACTA